GAGGGGGAGGGGGATATGGATTAAACGTCACCGGCCGTGTGAGACTGATTTTATCGATAAACCAAATGAAAACGGACTTTTCCAACGGGCTGACGTCGAATGGAAACCTGTCGCAACGTTAGATTAATCCTCTCTGGCAGATTAGTAGTTCTCCGTACTTTTTCTTTTCCTTTCCTTTCTTTTCTCTCTTTATTTTTTTTTTTTTTTGTACAGTTATTATTACTTAAACCTCCTTTCGAGCTCGCGTGCAACCCCTCGAGGCCGCGTGTCTGTATCAGGTGTTAAAGCAAGCCTTTATCCATAATGGATACAATAGCCATAAAACTGGTTAAAAATTAGCGCAAACTTTAATCGCTCGAAGAATAGAAGAAAGGAAACAACTACGGATTGCTACGAAACGTGATAAAATAAGGGAACGATCGTAATCTTGGAAAACAAGAAAAGTTCGAAATCTTCGGGGGAAACGCTCGACTCTTGAAATACCCTTTGAATTACGAATATCTCGGTCACCCAGAATGTATCCAGCTACATTCTAGTTTCGCGAAAACTTGCCAATAAAACTGATAACGAGTAACGATGAATTCCACTCTGATACTTTCAAAGTTTTCCTTTATTTCGAATCTCGCACGATGACTTACTTGAACTTTATCGACACTTGTATAAATCCTTTCAACGACTTCTTCTACAGTACGGAAAATACTCGGTTAATAATAATCATTTATCCAAATTTATCGTGTTCAATTTCCAATTCTTCGAAATTTTCCCTACTTCTTTCCCTTCTGATCCAATCTGATCGCGATACCGTACGCACTACACTCTCTTTCCTCCTCTTTCCTTCTCCAAATCTAAAAAAACACCAACAACAAGCGACTTGCACACGCGACTGCAAAAGCCCAAAAATTCCTGTTTCGGGGAACACGGAGCGGATCAACGGTTCGAGGGAAATAAAGCGATCACGTGCCACCACGTACCGCGGATTTGCATAAATTCCAACGCCCCGTTAATTGTCTTCGAAGCGGCGTCAAATCGAAACCCCTTTGTTGTATCAACGTATCGCCCATTGTGCCTCGGATAGGTGCGCTAAATTCGGGGTATTCAGGTGGATCCGAGGGTGCGAGCGCGGCGCTGATATTCGTCTGACGTTTACGCCTCTCTCAAAGCTTGGAGGGGCACCCCTCTCCATCCCCTCCCCCTCCCTAGTTCGTCGCAGCCTACTTCAAAGCGACTTCGAAATTAATTATTACTATAACCCTCGCGTGTCCCCGCGCCGACTTACGTTTCCACGAGCGTCACGAGCGTTACGAGGCAAGAGACTCGAACCGGGACGAGAACTCGACGGAAGCGAGAGAAAAGAGAGAAACACCGTTCTCAAAGCGACCGACTCATTAGCCGACCCGGGCGAAACGGGATTCCCCTTGCGTCCCGAGAAACCCCCCTCCTCCTTCGAC